AGGCTCAGTCCATCCTAGCTCCAATGAATAATTTTTGCATCAAGTTGCACTTTTAAAAAGTTTCTTTGGTTGATAATGACATTGGAAAATCCTTTGTTGAACCAGAGAGGTGGTTTCCTGTTGCCACGACTGAAAGCGCATCCTAGATCCTGTTTTTTCCATGGCATCTCTTGATATTTTTCCCTCTCTGATAGCCTTTAAAATAAAATTCTGATTTCTTCCCTTCCTGAATCTCAGCCTCTCCCACAAACCTTGGGATGTGGGTAATAGTAAGGCAGCGAATTTGTAATTTACTTGGATTAAAGACCACTGTAAGGGGCCATTTTACTTTCGCTTCTCCTGTCAAGAATCAGATTTTAAATGTGTTTTTTTTTTCTCTAGAACTGATAAGGGTTGTTTAAAAGCTAGTCATTTTCCCAAATTAATATTGATGGATATGGAGAGACTCGCAAGCTCTGCTGCATTGTAACTCCATTATCTCCATGTTTTGGTTTTTTTTATGGCAGTTCTCTGCTTAAATGGATTTTTGTGATTTTAGATTGTAGATTTTATAACACAGGGATCTGGTTTAGTATCAGATCTTTTCAGTTTGAATTTACAGGGAAGTTTCCCATTATGGAATAAATGCGTTGGATTCCCTGGGGATAATTTGTTGGAATAATCTAAATTTTGTGGAATTTCTTTGATTTTTAGATGACAATGTCAACTGGTATTCCAGTAGTGAGGAGGAAGAGGGGAGCAGTGTTAAATCAATCCTCAAAACCTTAAAGAAACAAAGTGAAAACTTTAGGAATAGGCAACAACATTCCACGGAGCAGCACATGCTTGGGATGCCTACAGATCCAAGGCTGGCCAAAGACAAAGGTGTGGGRCCTCAGGCTGCTGATCCAAGACTCCGGGCCTCTCCAAGGCCCAATCCTAGGAAGCCTTCGGAGTCGGCCTCCCTGGATCCCCGGCTGGCCCGCGATCCCCGGATGCACAAGGTCAGTGAGGGCGGCCATCCTGGCTCCTCGCTGGCCGGGGCCAAGCTGGATTTGCACCACGCCCATACTGGAGTGAAAGTCAAGCAGAAAGGGCTGGATGACGATGAGGAGGACTCAGAGAGAGAGCTGAGGGAACGAGCTTTCCTCATTCCTTTGGAACCTCTGCCAGGTGTCACATTACGGGATCCCCGTTCCCAGCTGCGCCAGTTCAGCCACATTAAGATGGATGTGACCCTGATGAAACCCAACTTTGCCAAGCACATCGTGTGGGCCCCTGAGGACTTGCTCCCAATCCCTCTGCCTAAACCCGACCCCGTCTCTTCCATCAATTTACCTCTCCCTCCGCTCATTGCCGACCAGAGACTGAATAAACTGCGGAATTTGAAGAACGATCCGCATCCCAACGCRATGCCAGCCGATCCCCGGCTCGCTGCCAAGGCCAAAAACAGCCTCGCGGGCCGGGGTGGCTACTTGGATCCATCCACAGATTCCCATGCCAGTAGCTCCAGCAAACTGGGGGATCCTCGCTTGCAAAAGAACGTTGATCCCAGACTCCACAGACTGTCGAGTGCAGATGCTCACCACGGAGTCGGGAAGGATTCCCACCCTCCCAAGTTTGATCCCCGCCTCGCTAGAGCTGCTGCCAGCTCATCCCAGCCCTCAGAAGCYGCRACTCCGAAATCCGACCCCGATGCTYTGCCTCCCTACGCGCCCAAATTATCATCCAGCGGTGTTAGGCTGGGAACTCCCGGCTCCATCCTGAGTGGGATCAGTTTGTACGATCCCAGGGATCACAGCTCATCCTCGGACACGGCTCCAGCCAGTTCAGGAGAGAAYGGAGAGAACCAGAAAAAAAGTATTTTGAAAAATTCCAGTAAAAATGAGCCCAGTCTCACAGAAGATGCGTCCCAGCAGAAGGCTGCCTCCAACACAGAAAAACCCACGGAAGGATCAGCGGAAGCTGCTTCAGACAAAGCAAACAACACCAGTAAATCTCAGGCTAAACACTCCAGCGCTGCTCCTGCCGTCCATAATCTCCCAATCCAGGCTCTGTCGGGATTAATCCGACCGCAGTACAGCGACCCGAGGCAGGTGAGGCAGCCAGGACAGGTAACGCAGGCCCCGGAGAATGATCCCAACGGGGAGTCGGATGATAAATCCTTAAAAGATGTTTTCAAGACTTTCGATCCAACCGCTTCCCCATTTTGTTAGCAGATGGCTTTGGAGTCTTTTTACCGTTGTGGATATTGCAGTTCTCTGCTGTTTTGTACCTGGGTTACCTCTTTTGGCTTTATTTATTTTTAAATTATAATTCCCACCACTTTTCAGCTGCTAATCTCCGAACCACATGCAGTTCTCCAGTACGCTCGAGTGTTTGCAAAGCTGTGGTATTTTCTAGAGAATCCCTYTTTTTTCCAATTTCAGGGAAACTAATAATTGACCTGTAGAAAGGAAACCAATCCCCCTGGATCGTGTTAGAGCTGAGAAAAGCACTTTCATTGTAAATAAGTCATGGAAAATCCCCAGAGCTGTATATGTGTGAGCTGCCTCTTTCCCAACCACCACTTAGATCCGATTGCCACATTTGTATAGATCCAAGCAATATTATGTACATGAATTCCTAGGAGAGATGCCGTTCCAGGACTGCCAAACCCCTGAACTGATGGAAAACCCCACGGAAATGAATTCACAGGAAAGCGTCGCTCCTCCTTTTCCGCTGAGTTGATGTAAGACACGGACAGTTTTTATTCCTGCAGTCAATATTAGTGTAAAAGAGACTATATCACATATTGAGGATGAAAAATGTCATATCTTTTAAAAGTATTTTATTCTATGCTGTACATAGAAGAAATTGTGAAGTACATAACTAGCAAAAGTAACTGTTCAAAGTGGAGAAAACTATGTTGTCTAATACAAAAAAAAGGTTTTTATTTAATTTTTTTCCACGCCTACACGATTGGGATTTAGTGCTCCAAGTTCCATTGTGGTGTTCATGTATTTCAATGTATTTTTGTATTCAGCTGCTTAATTTGTATTGCTTTTTTTGTATGGCTGTAACTGCAGTACTTGTATTCATGGTGTCTCGACGACATTTTTAACAAAACAATTAAAAAGGGTACCGTTAATTCCTGGTGACGACTCCGTGTGCGTAGGGTGGCAGCTGGGGTGAAGGGGACTAAAGCTGGGCTTTTTTGGGATGGTTTGTGGGTTTTTAACGTAACCTTGTACCTGGTCCCAAAGTCTCCTGGAGAGAATCACCATTTTCCATCGTGGAATACCTTGCATGTTTTGAATTCCCAAGGTTTTGCATGGGAGAGCACAACTGTYCTCCAGACTTCTTATCCTGCCTTTGGTGCTGCTTTTTCTCTACAGGAAATGTGGTCAGTCCTAGCCCACTGCCTTTCCAATAAAAATGTACCAGTTGTTTAATGAGCCATCTGCTTCATGCCCCTTTGGAATGTTTCTCTGCTTTAAATCTTTTCATTGGTGGGCCTTTTTCTTTTATCTGTTGGCCAGGTGATGGTCCTGGACCTTTTCCTCTTAGTCCAAGTGATGGCCATGGCCCTTTTCCTTTTGATTTGTCTTTTGTCCAAGTGATGATCATGGACCTTTTCCTCTTGGTTTGACTGTTGGACCTTTTCCTCTTGGTTGGTCCCCTGGCCAAGTGATGGGCCAAGTTTGTTGTTGTTTGTTTGTTGGCCAAGTGATGCTTTCACTGGGACAGCAGTGTTTATCCCAGATTCTGAGTTTTTGCCTTGCATGGATGAGCCAAGGGAAGCTGATGATTCCTGCACGGCAGAGGAGCCATCTCCAGARGCAATCACAGTTTCAATTTGCCTTCCTGATTTTCCAGAGCATTAATTCTATTAATGTTACTAWTTTTTTGAGTAGGAGAAGTTGATAAAAGACATGGAACTAGGTTGTTACTTTGGAGTAATGCATTAGTCCTTTATTATTATTAGTCCATTATTTCATCATCTACTCACTGGTGTGGTTGGTAAAGGTTTTCCTCAAAAAAACAAACCAACAGGGAAAAATATTGTGGAAACAGGACATGGATACAAAGGCCTCTGAGTCCTCACAGCCTGCTGTCTCCATGTGTAATTCCTTCTTTCCTTCAATTCCAGCTTCTTGGTTCCTCCATCCACCCCTTCTCCCTCCTTTATCCACTGCAGATTGCTTCCCAGAGTCCCCAGTGTACCTGGTGCTGCTTTCCCTTGGAATACAGAGAAGATTCCTTGCTACCGTGCAAGTAATGGAATTCCTGGTATGGGGAAGGTGGCTGGGAGGAAGGTGGGCTAACCAGGGTGGGCTGGAATGGGCTGCAGCCACCATGGAGCCACTTGTGATCTGCTGTGGTGTTGGATTGTGTCTTCCACAAGGAAGGCTCATTTCCACCTTTCCTGCAGAATTCCAGGATGGAGCAGCATTTCCATCAGACTACTCATGACCCTAAGGCTGAAAAGGGTGGATGTGGAGAACCAGGATACAGGAGCAGCCGCTGGCGCCAGTCTGGGATACTCTGGAAGCTGTGAGGTGAGTGATCAATATGATTGAACATTTTACTCAGGATAGAAGAGAATCCTGGGGCTGATTGGGATTTTGCAAAGAAACCTGCAGGATCAGACCAGCAGGTGAGAGAAAATGCTCCCCACTGCTGTATCCCTGGTTATGTGGAAGGTGGAAAGGTTGAAAGACTGCAGAAAGCCTGAGCATCTCTGGATCATACAATCCRGGAAYGGTTTGGGTGGGAAGGGACCCTAAACTCATCCCATTCCACCCCCTGCCGTGGGCAGGGGCATCTCCCACTGTATCAGGATGCTCCTAAGACCCAACCATCCCATCTCATCACCTGGTGTTTGCAGCCCTRGGGATAAAACACTCACCAGAAGATGTCTGGTCTCCCCATGTAGCTTGTTCCAAGATTTTCCTGCCATGATGAAAAACTCCAACATTAGTTCTTCATACTGCAAAATATTCCTTTGCTTCCCACGCCATTGGGACAAGGAACCCCTCTGGATTTACAGGTGTCTGTCCATGACTGTGTGTCCTTTCCTAGGAATGGGATGCTTCGGGATATTCCTGCTCCGAGGGGGTTCTTGCACCAGAGACATCAGRGTGGGTTCAGCCTTTGCCCCCCGAGTCTTTCGGAGCCCTAATGCATCCCGGTCGGAATTTAAAGCCTCCTTGGCTCTGTGCTGTATYAGGTTTTTCCTCCACTGCTGGCAGAAAGCAGCAACTTCTTCTTCCTCAGGGTCAGCTGAGGGTTGTCTCAAACCCTATGGGACAAAAGAATTGCTTTAATATATCCCTGTGCATCCCAAATGATGGAAGGATTGGGATGTGCTGATGTGTGCATGATCCACACAGCATCACCACCTCTTAATGCTTCAAAATGCTTCCAAAGCTTCAAAATGTTTCCAAAGCTTCTTAGACGGAGAGAAAAGGAGGGCAGTTTTTGAGAAGCATGGAAATTTCCAAAGGGAAATTTCCAGGTCATAAAGGACTTTGAAATCTAGACAGTCAAAATTAGTTAATCAATCCAGGCTGRCATCAGCAAAGTGAAAAGTGGACAAATAGAGGAAGTTTTAAATTTAATTAACCACAGTAGGAGCTTTGTCATCTCTGGAGATGATTGTGGGACTCTAGAAAATTTGTGTTTCCTTTAAAAAAAAGAGATGTTGATCACAGGAAAAGCAGAAGGATTGTAGAGGAGGATGGGATTCAGGTGGAAACGCTGTCTCAGGGAGAGGCTGGTGGTGTTTGCACTTGTTTTCCAGTTTTTTTTCAGGAGAAGTCTGCTCTCACAGACTTTACAGTTGGATCAGGTGGCCATTGATGGCAGCTGCATGGGAAACTTGGGAATTTGGCTTTTGGGAATAAACAGGATAGCATGGACTGGTTCCAAATAAAGGTACTCYATGATCCCAAAATTAAGTGGGAAATGGACCAGGTAAAGGTGACTTTAAGGACAGAGTCAATGCCTGGGATTATGCAGGATGGGCTTAGGAAACAAGAAAGGCACAAAATAAAAACATTCCAGGAGAAATATTTGCTCCAGTTGGAGTCCYACACCAACCAGATCCTAGCTCCCATAGAAAGACATGTGTGAGGAACTCCCACAGCATGGAATTGGTGCCGTCAGCCTTCACTCTTAAGGATAAACCCTTCCCTGTGAGGGTGGTGAGGTCCTGGCACAGAGAAGCTATGGCAGCCTCGTCCCAGAAGTGTTTCAAGCCAGGTTGGATGGGCTTGGAGCAACCCTTGCCACCCAGATAATTCCAGGATTGATTCCATGATTGACTCACTTTGACACACGCYGCCTCGGCCGCCCTCAGGACGTGCTGGACCGCTCGGACCAGGTTCTGCACATTGCTCACCAGCAGCTCAGAGGAGGCCTTGCTCTCCCTAGTCACTGCTTTCACCCTTCAAAGACATTCAAAAGGATTTTATTGGAAGGATATTGGATGTGCTAACAATATTGTCATTCCAAGCCCAGCTTGTCCCCTCTGCCATCGGAGCAGGGAAACCCATGGAGGGGAGGGAGCTTTCTAAATTGTTCCTCAACTATTGGGCAACACCCACCTCCCTCAAGGACCTCTGGTGACCACCACCCACATCCCTTGGAGAAGGGATCTCCCTTGGATGACCCTGGGAGGTGTGATCCCATCTGCTGGCAGCTCACCTGGCCACGATGCTGAGTTGGCTGCTGATGGATTGGGTGTGCTCGGCAGCACGGAGCAGCTCCATGGAGCATCTCTGATCCAGGCAGTGTTTGGCAAGGATGTTCCCAAACTTAACAACTACCTGCCCKTCGGAAGCCATCTGCCTGGCACAGGCAACAAGCTGCTCCTTGCTCTGGAATGGGATAAAAAAATCAATGGGATTGGAGAGAGAATGACAGGGAGGGTCCAGGAGGCTCAAGTACATTTGAGGAGAGGACAAGGATGCCAAGCTCAYAGCCAACCAGGATGAAGGAATATGGAATATTTTGCATAAACAGAGCTGRTGCCACTCTCCCAAGAGCTGGGTAGCACAGGGATTTGGGATGGAGCTGTCATGATCCTAAGGGAAAACCGGAGGGGTGAAACGCTGCCTACCGCAATGGGGCCCTTCTTCCGCAGGAACTGAGCCATGTGGAGCATCCTTGTGGCCATGTCCTGGGTGACCTGGGACACCTTGCTGGGGCCACCTTGCTGCATGTCACCATTTCCTCTCTCCTGCTTTGCAGGGGAGATGCTGGAAGGGCCATCCCAGTGCTGTCGAGAAAATAATGGAGCAGATTCTAGGTCGGGAATGTGTGGACACGACGATGATGAGTCTCCTCCACCACCTGGGTGTATCTGAAGCAGATTTTGGTGAGTAAAGCTGGTGAGAGAGCTGCCCACCCCCTGCTGGATCCATTCCACCTTCCCACCAGGGCTTCTCCCTAAATCCAAAGCCCCTGGAGCCATCTCCAAATTGGAATAGGGTGTGCTGCAAGCTSATAGTGTGCAATTACTTCTGAGCACAATTAGAGCTCTAAACCATTTTGCTGAGGGATCTGGATCTGTGCCAAAACCTTTCCCAGTTCCTGACACCTGTGGGAGTGGAGTTACTGATATTCCCAGAGGGAATGTGTGGAAGTGAGGGAGAGTGGGACCAGCCCCCCACCCCCATCTGTAACGATGCAGGAGTGCCTGGCTGATCGGATATCCAGGAATCCAGGGCTGCCAGCAACCTGAGCTGCCCGAGTGGCCCAGGGTCAGCCTGCTGACCTCCAGAGGGCCCTGCCAGCATCCCTCACATTCCTGCTCCATGCTGGGAGCACCAGCATGGACCGGCCTGACCAACACCCTGCCAGGGAAAAGAGCTACTGTACCAGTTCAGCCACTTCCTGCATGGCTCCACTCGCTCCTCCACTCCTGCATGGATRAATTYCCGCTGCCTCGGTGGGYTCTGGGGCTGGGGAGAGCRTGGYTGTGCCATTGAGTGATCTCGGCAARCATTTCCCCTGCAGGCATTCCATGAGGCGCCGTAGGATGTCCCTGTCAAYGTCATGGATAAYCCGGAGCTGTGTCACAAGATAGTGTGCCTTGGCCGCCCAGTACCACACCACACTATCCAGGTGGGGATTCCCAGTGTCCTGGAGGGAATTCTCAGTGTCCTGGCAGGGATTCCCAGCATCCTGGTGGCTCTGGCAGTGCTGGCGGGTGCTTTCCACCACATCAGCTGTGAGCAGCAGGAGGTGGTCAGCCAAGGTGAGCAGGTTGGGCTGTGATGGAAGTTGAGTGCTGGCCTCCAGAGCATCCCGGAGGGTGTTCCTTACCCACTGGACATCAGCCATAATTTGATTTGCCTTCTCCTCAAAAGCCTCTTTGCTCCTCTCCCTTTCCTCTTGGGAGAGGGTGGACAGGGCTGCTCCAAGCACATCTTGGATGAGCTGCAGCTGATCCATGTTGACCCTCTCCAGATGGAGCAGCAATGCCTTGGCCCTGAGGGCCACATCCCTCTGCAGGAGCTCGAAGCGGCTGGCCAAGCTGGCAGTAGGCAGTGGGGAGAGCAGAAGGGTGTTGGAGACATCCAGCAACGCTTCCATGAGCACCTGTATCTCCTCTCGGAGYGCCAGGATCTCTCTGGCATCGCAGCCTCCAGGGCAGGATAAGTAGGAAAGCCGGGCGGCCTCCTGCAGCCTCAGGGAATTCTCAGCCACAGCAGCCAGGAGGCTCCGTGGACCAACCTTGTTCCTCACGGCACGGCTCAGCTCCCTCAGGAACAGGACATCCCTGCCCACAAACTGATCCATAGCATCCAGCAGGACACACATGCCAATGGCCCACCGGACACTGTGCAGCTCCAGGATGGCCTTTTCCAATGCAYAGGATTCCCTGAAGGATGCTGACTTCTCCAGGAAGACTTTGGTGTTCAGCTGAGCATGGAAAAACTTGGCTTGGAGCTGCAGAAAGCTCTCCCGGACATCAGAGGGATTGGGATTTTCCTTACTGCAAATTGTGTTTGCAATGTCTCCTGCCAGCTGCACTGCTCCCCCTAAACCCAGCATGGTCTCATCCAAAGCCTGCTTCCCTCTTGGAAARTCACCTGACAGGATAAACCCAAGCACTTGCTGGGCCAGACCATTCCAAGAGCCTGCCACAGCTGCCAGGCACTCCTGAGTCTCCCAGATCCTTCCCGAGAGACTGAGTGCCATTTGGAGAAGCCTGCCTGGAGCMTGGAGCTGCCTGGGGGCCATTTCCACAGCCAGGCTGATGATCCGTTGTGTCAGTGCTGCAATATCCTGGTGCTGCTCCAGCACCCGGAGCTGGGGGGGCTCAGCCACGGGCAGTGCTTCCCGTGCTGCTTCCACACAGCCATCGGAGAGCTCCAGCAGGATGGAGCAAGCAGCGCGGACAGTGTCTGTGTCACCGGCTCGGGATGCTTCCAGGAGAGCTGTGATGACAGGGTGTGTATCCCCTTTGCATGGATCCAGGTGTAAATTCATTGGTGGTGAAGATGGATGACTTTGGATGTTTCCTTGGAATGCTGCCTCATCTGTGCTGGTTTTTGTCCCAGTGTGGGACGGGCTGAGCTTCAGCCCCTTTTCCTCCTTGGTGCTCCGCACTTGCTCCCGGAGCGGGCTGAGGATCTCCGGGTGGTTGGACCCATCCAGCCCAGCTTGGACATGGAGAGCAGAGTCCATCAGGTGGCTCACTGCGTGGGAAAAGGCATCCCGGCTTTGGAGGCAGGAAAACCTTCTGGGAAGGAGGGCTGTGACTGCTCCCAGCTCCAGCATGGAGTTGGCCAATTGCTCCACCCACACCAGCAAACCGTTCCTGAAGATGGGATCTGTGGCCCTGTCCACGTGCCGGGTGGTGGCTCCAACCACCCAGCGTGCCCAGCCCATGAGGTGAGCAGCATGCCAGGAAAATCCCTCTGGATCCCAGTGTCCCAGCGCTGCTTCACACCACTCCTTGTGCTTGGCCAGCTCCAGGATGGATAACTCAAGGAGATCCCTCATGCTGATCGTCTTCTCAAAGCAGTGCAGGAGGCTGCTGGTGGCTCTGGCCCAGGCATAGCACAGGGCCTGGAGCTGCTCCATGGTATTCCCACTTGTTTCCATGAGCAGGGAAGGGAGGCTRGCCAGGAGGCTCTGCAGGTGCTTCACCCCCTCCTGGATTTCCCTGGCAGTTTGGGCCTCGGTGCACCTGGCCAGGACCAAATTGGCYGCTTGGAGCATCTGCTGGGCCTTAKTGAAGAAGGCGGCAATGAGGGGCTGGAGCTTCCTTAAAATTCCTCCTGGTCCTGCTGGAAAACATCCTGAACAACCAGCAWGCCTAAGGGCACCTTCAACCAGCTGCCTCAGAGGCTCTTTCTCCTCAAGGAATCCATCCAGGATTTGGCACAGAGTGGCCCTGAGCATTGCCCGGTCCAGGTTTTCTAGCTGCTCCCTCATGCTGTGACATTCCTGCTSCAGTCCATGTTCTCCCTGGCTCTGTCCAGGCTGTCCCTCCCTCTGGCTCATATGGCTGCAGATGCTCCTCCTCAGCTGTAGCAGAGCCCAGCAACATTCCACCAGCTCCAGCTGCAGATCCAGCCTGGATGACTCTGCCAGCAGCATTCCATGGAGAATGATGGCTTCCAAGTGGGAGCTGAACCCACCCTTGGAGAGGCGCAGGGGGTCTGGGTGGGACAGGAGAGCCAGGAGCCTGCTCACCTGCTGGGAGAAGATCCCGCTCCTGTCCCGTGGCTCCACAAGCAGGGAGAGGAGCTCTCTGATGGTCCTCTCTGTCAGCTGGAAAACGGAATCTTGGGAGAGGTCAGCTTGGCAATCCTTGGAATATGTCAGGGTGCCGTGCTTGGCCGCGTGGATCAGTGGGACACATTTATGGAGGAGCTGCAGGGTCTGGGCCAAGCTCTTCCATCCAGGACAATCTCCAAGTTCCTGGAGGTGCTTGACTGCCAGGCTGCTCAGCAGGAGCATGGCCTCAGAAAAGGCCTGGAATGCAGCCAGCAGCCCTGGAGTGTCCTGGGCATCCTGGAGCACGCTCAGGCATTCCAGGAGCCAGTTGGCAGCCCCTGTTATCCTTCTCAGCTCTGCAGCCTCTTCCAGCTGAAGGATCTAGCCAGGAAACAAGGCAGAAATCCACTCAGRTCAGGAATTCCCATTCCATCCCTGGAGAGGGGAGGAGGAGTGGTTTGCTCCATGGATCTGCTGGATGGGAGCAGATCCCATCCCCCAGCTCCCATCCCTTCCCTGTGTCCCACTCACCTTTGCTGTCTCCATCAGGATCCTCTTGGCGGCTGCTGCCAGGTGCTCCCGGTGCCAGGGGCTGTCTGGCTGCTCCTGGAGCTGAAATGCTGCCAGYACCATGTCCCTCCCAGCCTGGACCAGGGATTCACCCATGGGACACATCTCCATGCTCYCTTCTTCGCTGGAATCCTCGGACAGCCTGGAAGGGAAGGACTGGCTCAGTGCTTCTGTCTACTCCCCACTCCCAATCCCACCTCTCTAGGAATATGCAGGCTTCCTGCCACCTTCTTTTCCATCTCTACCCAGCCCTCAAATCCACCTGGGAGACTCCCATCCAACTCACCTCCTTGCCACAGCAGCAAGGTCCTCCGTGGCTTTGGCTAATTTTTCTGCCTTTTCCCCTAAATTGGGAAAGGCCAGGCAAATCCCATCTTCCCGTTCCAGGGCAAGGAGGAGGTGGCAGAGCTCCACAGCCATGGGGCAGAGAATTCCCTGGATAGCTTTGTTTTCTGTTGAGAGCCCGAGCTTAGAGAGAGAGAAAGGCTCCATGTTGTCCTGCCTGGAAAAGGGAAAAAACCCTGGGATTATTAGGATCCAGGGTGGAACAGTTCCAGGTTTTCCCAGCGAGCTTGGGTGTGTCTGACAGTTCCTGTCCTGGGAAATGTTGCCGGCTTTAGTTTCTCCCAGCCCTGAAAYCAGGTCACTCACCTGTAATTCCAGGGACACCGGAGCCGGGATTTCCTTTCCCGGGGGATCAGAGGGTGTTCCCGGCACTACAGAGCTGGCATTTCCTTCCAGGGAGGGATTCAGGACAGCGGAGCCGGGGGGAGTGCAAAGTCTTCCTTCCCCAGTTCCCGCCGTTCCCGGGACGCTGTGTGGGACGTTCCCATGGGAGCGACGCTGGGATGCGCCAGTGTCGCCRTGGAGACAGCGGTCGCGGAGCAGTGGCGTTAGCGCTGCGCGCCGGCCGCGAGGCACGCCGGGAGYTGTAGTCCGGGAGGTTGTTCAGGGTTATGGAATTCCYTCGGCCCGGGTGCGCAGGGGAGGGATCAGGCAAGAATATCCCAGTTTTCCCCGTACAGGGCTCACTCCTTCCAAGGACAATGCTGAGCAACTCCCATGTACGCTCAGGTAACGGGGACAGGACACAGGTGTCCCTTCTCCTGACTATCCTTAGTGTGGAATATTCCCAAGACAGTGTAGCCCATCTCCGGGGACTCTGAGCTTCAGCTCTCCTGCGTTACAGGTGAGGTAATTCCCTGGGAAGTCACAGAGTAACATAAATAACCTTCAGGATAAGGATTGACCTGACYCAGATCGCACCGCCAGCACTAATCTGGATCCGCGCTTCCATTCCCTCGCATTTAAGCACTGCCATCTTTTGAGGAAGCTCCTAACGGAATCCCCCCGTTTGGGAATAACCCGCGGCTGCGCGGGTTCCACCCGCCGGGAGGAGCCGCTCCTCCCTCCCAGACCGCGCATCCCTGCCGGATCCCGCATCCTGCGCGCGTCCCGCCCCGCGCACGCGCACGCCACGCTCCCGGTGCCGCGGCGGAGGAGGAGGAAGAAGAGGAGGAAAAGCGGGAGTGATGGACAGCGCCGGGAAGGAGCGGGAGGCCGTGCAGCTCATGGCGGAGGCCGAGAAGCGGGTCAAGGGCTCGCACTCCTTCCTGCGGGGGCTCTTCGGGTGAGCGGCTCCCCCTTCCCGGATCCTGCATCCGCCTTCCCATGCCCTGCTCCCCCCTTCCAATCTCCTGCATCTCCCCCCCGCCCCTTCCCTGGCTCCTGCACCTTCCTTGGATTGTGGATCCACCCGCTTCCCGTCTCCTGTCGCCCTTCCAGCCCCTTCACACACTCATTCCCAGTTCCTGCTCCGCTTTAGCTCCTGGATCATCCCATTAACCCTGCCTTCCCATCTCCTACATCTGCCCCCTTCCCTATATCCTGCCCCACTTCCTCATCTTCTGACTCTCCCATCTTCTTTCTCGCCCCCATCCCCATCTTCTTCATCCTCCCTTTTCCTTCTGCTACATCCTCTCCATCTTCTCCATCTGCCCCGTCTCCCATTGCCCCTTTCCCCATCTTCTACCTCGTCCCCTTTTTCCCAGTTTTCTCTTTCCCCTTTTTCCCAGTTCCTGGCCCYAGTGAAGGTCTTCCTTTTCCCTGTCAGGGCACGAGGAGGAGGCACACGGAGTCTCCCCATCCCGCTCCAATCCCTCCCCTGCCACTCCAATCTCCCTGGAGCAGCCCCTCCTGGCCATCCATGGTCACAGGGATGTGACGAGCGCGTTCGGCCTCTGCGGCTCCTGTCCCCTCCCCGCGTCCGGCGCCGCGCTCATCCCGGCTTTATCCCGGGGGGAACTATCTTCCAGCCTCCGCAGCACCGGGATTCGCCCTGGCAGGGATGGGCTCTCCCAAAATCCCAGRGAACATCGGCACCCTGGGGCTCCGCTCCGGCTGCGGCCGGCGCTATCCCAGAAAATGGCAGAGCTTCCTTTTYCCTGGGCCTGGCTACTCCAGAGTCGCTGTTCCTGGGGGTGTGTCTGGAAACGGGATGGTTTGGCCACCTCAGTCCTGCTTTTCCTTAGTTTTTTAAAGGAAAGAGCATTCCTAGAGTAATGCTCCTTAAGGGTCTGGGTGTTTGTATCCATCAGCCTGGAAAATCGGCTGTGGCTGCCCTAAAATCCACAAGTTTTAAATAGAAATTTCTCTCCGGCCTCTGGCAGATTAATCAGGCAGGGCCTGCTCCAGGGGCATAATCCGAGCGGCAAATTCCTGAAAATCCTTGGAGGCAATGGGCAGAGATTTTGAGAGGAGAATTTTTAATTTTCAGGACTAAAAATAGATGCAGGAAAAAAAAAGAGGAAGAAAAGGTGGGTGGGGAGGGTGACTCGGCTCTTGGCATCTTCCCGGAAACGGGATGTCCAGCCTCCCAGTGCCTGGCCAAATGCCTTCTTCCCACCTGGGCTCTTCCTGGAATCACTCCATCACCTTGCACAAGAGCTGTTACTCCTTTATTTTTTTTTTTTTTTTTGGATTAAAAGGCTGGAACTCTCCTGATTCCGGAGGCCTTTCCAGGTGTAGCGTTTCCTGGTGCTGCCTCTGTTGGCTTTGGCTTGTGCCAGAGGCAGCTTCCAAGGGCAAGGAGTGATCCAAAAATCCCGCCTGTGCTTCCAAACCAACTGTGGCCGGCTGCCAGAGGGAGAGAGGGGGAAAAAARCACTAGAGTTCCCAAGGGACGGAAAAGAAAATGGAATAATCCCTGTTGTGAGCTTGATTTAAGAGCAGTGTGGATGTGGCACTTGGGGACATGGATTTTGGGGGAATGGGGGGTTCATTGCCTCGAGGGATCTTCCAGTCTTACGGATGCTGGGATTCCTTTTTTTCCCTGGGAGCAGAGCCTGATCCCCATCTGGCTTCTGTCAGGCAGTTGTGGAGAGCCAGGAGGTCTTCCCGGAGCCTYCTTTTCTCCAGGGATTCCATGAAAAATCTGTATTTCCCTACCAAAAACAGTGACCTTTGGCATCTCAGAATTTTGGGAGAACCCCCAAATCMAGTGTCCTCCCTTCAGTGTTTTCACATGGTGGGGGTGGAGGGGCGGGATCAGCCTCATGGAGCCTGGAGAGGCCAAGATTCCCAATCCTGGTTTTSGCTCCGGAGCCATCTTGCCTCCTGGCCTGGCCTCAGGACCATTCCTGCTGCATTCCAGGGGCAACACCCGGGTGGAGGAAGCCTGTGAGATGTACACCAGGGCTGCCAACATGTTCAAGATCGCCAAAAACTGGAGYGGTGAGTCCAAATCTTAGGATCTGGGGTGGCATCACTGATCCTGGGTGATATGGGACCGCCCAAACGTCTTCCTGTGGGTTATTCCATGGGGAATGGTCTCTACATCCCTGCAGTTCCTCCTGTTTAAATACTAAAGAGGGTGAGCTGAAGGATCTGGGATGAATTTTAAAATGACAGCTGATGATCCTACTGGGAAGCCTTCATCCCTAAATCTCCCGAGGTCCTGGAAGCGGTGCGTTCCCGCTTATTCCCGGGATTCACTGGATCGGTATTCCTTCTTTTCCAGCGGCAGGAAATGCCTTTTGCCAGGCGGCCAAGCTGCACATGCAGCTCCAGAGCAAACACGACTCTGCCACCAGCTTTGTGGATGCCGGGAATGCCTACAAAAAAGCGGATCCGCAAGGTAGGGGAGTGGATTCCGGTAGCGGAATCTGGGATTGTTCCCAGCCAAGTGGTCAGTGGTGGCAGAGGTGCATTCTTGCTTTTTCAGAAGGAGCTTTGGGATGATGCAGGGAGGTCAGCACCATCCTGGCATCTCCTCTTGGTGTTTTTTGGGATTTGGGATGCTGCAGGGTGTTGGGAATTTTGTCACTTTTCATCCTGGTTTAGCTTGGCTTTAGAGAATGGCCTCCTGAGAAATGGCTTCTGGCAGTTCCGGGTCTGAATCCCAGTGGGATCCCTGCCATGTCCCCAAGGTTTTCCCCACTCCTGGCCTTTGTTGGGATGCRAATAAAGGATCTGGGATTCTTTCAACCTAGTTATGATTTGTGGGAAAGCCTCCAATCTCCCTTTCCTTAGATAGGTCTGGAAGCAAACCCCCATCTCCCACCAKCATTATCCCAGGATACAGGAACAAAGTCAGGGTGGATAAACCCTCGAGAGGAGTAAAACTCCCAAATTCCCTGGAAAGCAGCAGCCTTTTGGAGTCAATCCCTTGAATCTGCTCCTTTGGGGGATGCAGACAGCAAACTCAGGATTGGGTAATCCCAGTGTCTGTTCCCTTTGCGGGTGCTGGGGCTGAAGTCATTCCAGACCCCACTGTGTGAGTAGCTGTCCCCTGGATTGGCTGCGGGGTGGGATTTGSGGATGGGCTGTGGCTGATCCTGTTGTCTCTCACGCACGCTGCAGAGGCCATCAACTGCTTAAACGCAGCCATCGATATCTACACGGACATGGTAAGGCCCCGCTCCCGGGAATGCCGCGCGGCTTCCCAGGAATGCCACAGCTCATCCCGCTTCTCTTCCGTCCCCAGGGCCGCTTCACCATCGCTGCCAAGCACCACATCACCATCGCCGAGATCTATGAGGCCGAGCTGGTGGACATCGAGAAGGTCAGGGGGACATGGGTGACATTGCTGGTGATGTCATCTGTGACATCACTGGAGGCCCCGGCACAGTTTTCCCAGAAAACCTGTGGCTGCCACATCCCTTGGAAGTGTCCAAGGCCAAGTTGAAGCCTTGGGATAGTGGAGGGTGTTCCCCCAATGGAACTGGATCATCTTTAAGGTCCCTCCCAACCCAAACCATTCAGAGATTCCCTTGCCCTGAGCTCAATACTTCCCATCTCTGGAATTTCCAGTGTAGGAGCAACCCAGCCCTGATTTGGAGTTAGTGGTTTTCCCAGCCTGGAGGCTTTCATGGAGCCATCCCAAGCCTCATGTAGAGAGGAATTAAATCATGGAGCCATCCCAAGCCTCTCATATGTCCCTGTCGTGAGCAGCACTGGCAGAATGCTTTGGTGAGAATCCACCTCGGCGTTTGCTTCTGGAAAAACGCTTTGGGAATGTCATGGAGCTGTTTTCTGTCACCTTTACTTCCTATTTCAGCACTGAGTCCTTCAGTCCCATTTCCAAGCTCCCTGAGCAGGAATCCTGCTGTGGATCTCTTGCTGGACTTTTGYAGGATAAAACTGGGTGGGATTTAGGTGCTACTTTCCAGTCAAGGATTTATTTCCTTGTCTCTGCTCTGTGGAGACACCTCTCTCTGTGAATGTTGGTGCTGTTCCCTGAGGTGCTCTATCCCAGGATTACTGATCCCATGTTTCTGTCCCCAGGCCATCGCGCACTACGARCAGGCCGCGGATTATTACAAGGGAGAGGAATCCAACAGGCAAGTCCTTGGGACCAGTGGGAAGGGCTGGAGCAGGGATCCATCCCAGACACTCCCAGAACCAACACATTATTAACTCCCACTGTTCCAAAGGCAATCCCAGCTGTGGGTTCCTCTTTGGGAAGGAGTGCTGGGTGGTGCTGGGGTGTGGGCTGGTGAATTCCCGGGATTCAGGGCCTGATTTTTGGGATGTGGATTGCAGCTCAGCCAACAARTGTCTGCTGAAGGTGGCGGCGTACGCGGCACAGCTGGAGCAGTACCAGAAAGCCATTGAGATCTATGAGCAGGTGAGGAGCCACATCCCATGGGAATAACACCTCTTCCCAAGGAAAAGGGTTTGGGGGGTTGCAAAACTTCCAAAACCATGAAATTGTTTAGGTTGGAAAAGCTCTCTGAGGTCAGAGTCCAGCTGTTCCCCCAGCATGGCCAAGTGTCCCCAAGTGCCACATCCATGATTTTCAGTGTTGTTTTCAGCAAAAGGCTGGGAGAAAGCAATCAAACACTCCTCTTTGGAATGTATTTACAACTGCCTTTTCCAAATTTATCAACTCAGCCTTTTGTTGGATATTTACCTGGGAATACTGGTAGTGCTGCCTGGTGCTTCCAGAGGSTTAATCCTGGAACAGGTTTTTCCCAGATAGATTTGTTTTCCCATTTCCTCATCAACCAGGACACAAGGAGGGATCAGCCTGATGGAATCTGGCTTCCCTTGGGATGAGTTCAAAACCTCCCTGCTTCCCAACACCTTTTTGGCTTTTTTCCTTGCCTTTTATTCCCAGCTGTGTGGCTCAGGAATTTCAATTGGTTTAATCCAGACTTTYCTTTCCTGCTCCTTTTGCCATGTTTTTTTTTGTCCAGGTGGGAACAAACACAATGGATAACCCTTTGCTCAAGTACAGCGCCAAGGAATATTTCTTCAAAGCTGCCCTGTGCCACTTCATCGTGGATGAGCTGAATGCCAAGGTAGTTATCCCAGAATTCCCAATCCCTCCCCACCATCCTCAGCTGGCTGGGAGAAGCTCAGCGGGCTTGCAGCCATTATCCCAAAATCTCTAATCCCTCCTCAGAGTGCCGGGAAATCTTGATGTKCCATTGTCACATTGGGTTTCTGGTGGATACTTTCCCAAGTTTGAGGATGGGAGGGCAAATCCTGGAGAAAAAAAAAAAAAACCAGGAACGGTGTGTGAAGGAATCTCTTCTCTATTCCAGCTTGCACTGGAGAAATACGAAGAAATGTTCCCGGCGTTCACAGATTCCCGGGAATGCAAGCTATTGAAAGTGAGTAACCGGGGAGGCTTTTCCACTTCTCCAGAAGCTTTCTCCTTTATCCCAATCTTTTCAAGGCCAKCAGCCTCACTTTTCCCTGGGTTTGGCCCACTTCTGTGTTTGTGGTGGGTGCTGTCCATGGGACATGTGGATCTCTGCTCCCTGGGATGAGATGCCAGAGTGGGAACATGGAGTAACAGAGCATTCCCTAATTTTTCCCAATGTTTTCCCAGAAACTGCTGGAAGCCCACGAGGAGCAGAACAGTGAGGCTTACACTGAGGCAGTAAGTACTCATGGATTCACTTGGGAATGCTGCTTCTTCCCTCTCTTTTTCGGGATGACTGTGCCCTGTTCAATATTTGGGAGCCTGGGGAGAGGGGAGAGCTGAGCTGCTCTAGCAAGGTTCCAGCTTCCTCCTTTAACATACCTGGTTTTCATGGATCCTGCCTGGGTTTGCTTTGGCTCCTCTGGTGTTTGACAGGGGCTTAAAGTGCCCTGGATGGRTTTGGAGAGACTTTTCCCTGGGGCTTTTCCCTTCTTTTCCCATTGCCTTTTTTCCCCCTGCTTCCRTGTGTGTTTTTCCTTTGTTTTTTYCCCCTTTTCCCCCGSTTCCCTTTTTTCATCATTTCCCTTTTATGCCACTTTTCCCCCTTGGTTTTGCCCTTCCTCCGTTTTTCCCCTTTCCCTGTTTTTTCCCCTTTCCTTCCTCCTTTTTGTTTTCCTTTCCCATTTTTTTCCTCGTTTTTCCCCATTTTTCCATTTTTTTCCCCCTATTTCCCTTAGTTTGTTCCCTTTCCCTTCTTCCCCTTTTTCTCTTCTTCTTTTCCCCCCCTTCCTTTTCTTTTCACTTCTTCTTCTTTTTTCCTCACATTTTCCTCTTTCCACTTATTTTCCCCTCTCTTTCCCCTTGTTTTTCCCCTTCTTTCCCCTTGTTTCCCCCCCTTTCTCCATGTTCTTTGCCTCACTTTCCCTTTATTGTCCTTCTTTGCATTCCTTCCCTCTTTCCCTTCCCTTTATCCCCAGGACAGTCCTAAGCCCACCGCTCCCCCACTCCCATCACCGCTTTGTTCCCAGCCTCATTCTCTTTCCTGCCCGTTCCCTGATCCATGTTTTTGTCCGTGCTAGGTGAAGGAATTCGACTCCATTTCCCGGCTGGATCAGTGGCTCACCACGATGCTGCTGCGCATCAAGAAAACCATCCAGGGCGAGGGCGACGGGGACCTCAAGTGATTCCTGCGGGCCCTTCCCGAGGACTTTTCGGGGATTCCCGACCCAATCCCGCGCTTTCTTTCGTCGCTTCCCACTCCCACGGCTCTGTGTGTTTCTTTAGCCCCCACTCTGTGGTGCCGCTCCGGGCGGATCTGAGGTGGGAGAAGGCCTTGGAGCAGAATTCCTCCTCCTCCTCCTCCTCGGGTTTGGTCCCGCTCATCCCGGTGCCTGCACTCGCAGCTCCCAGTTTTCCTGCTCTTCCGTTGATTCCAGCATGTAAATATTTCATCCAGGCCAGCACAATACCARTAAGCGCTTCCAGCCCGTTGTGTTCCCATTTTCCCGTTCTCAAGTGTTGGATACACTTGGCTTTGGGGGTCTGGAAGTGGTGCTAGCCAGAGGCTTTGGGAATTGGGAATATCCTGCACACCCCCACCACGCCAAAGGCGTTCCAGGAGCGCTGGGATTGGTGTCAGCCCTAGGTCCTGGTTGGTTTCCATCTTTCTTGGATTGATTCTCCACTTGATTTCATGGTACATTCCATCCCTCCACTTCCCAAATTCCCATTCCCTCCACCGAGGAAGGATCTATTTTTGTACCTCTTCCTTCGCGTGTGCTGGGCACGATCCCTTAATTCTGACCCCTCAGCTGCACACGGGTGTCGATCCCAAGGGAGCTTTGCTGGAATTCAGGTACCAGGGGAGCAAGCAGAGTTTGCTTTGGAAAGGTTGAAAAATTCCTGCTGGAATTTATGGATSTGTTTTAACCATGAGTGGCTAAGGAGAGAGGATTGAGCTGCCTAGTTGTTCATGGATGTGTCGGAGGCGTCGGGAACTTGTGCAATTTATCACTCTCTGGGAAGAGTGGAATTCCTTAAGGGCTGTTCCGGAGGGTCCAGGCAGCCCCAGCCCCTTTCCTCTGGAAAAACTGTGGTTTGAATGTTGGGTTTGGATAGAGCTTGGCTTAGCTCATTGGGCTCTGAAGTTCTGAAAACCAAAAATCCTGATCCATGCCAAATTCTCCTTGGTTTGGTGTTTTCCCACCCTTCCCGATCTCTTATTTCCCACAGGTCGTTGTGTCCATCCCACWCAGATGGAAAAGCCCAGGCTTGGGATGCGGGGGGGAGGATTTCCCAGCTCCAGGCTTGGAAGCACATGGAGTTCACTCGCGCCCTTTGGAATGGCTTTGTCTGGTGTCCAGCACTGTCAGAGCTGGGATGAGGGGAAGCACAGCTCGGGAGGCTCCACTGTTCCCGGTGTTTTTTAGGTTCTGTTGCYGTTCCCCGTGTCAGTGTTGTAGGACAGGAGGAGCAGGAGGGCTGTTACTCCATCCCCTACACCTGGTAGTTGTGTGTGAGTAGCTCCAGCATGTCCTCTGCTGTATCCATGGTGAGTTGTGACAGTTTCCAGGTGACAATTCTKCCACTCCCGCTGTATTCCTGCCCCACTTCCATCACTCTCTACTTGGAAAACTTATTTAAGGAAATGGCCTTAGCAAGAATATCATGTTTGGTGTGACTCTGTACATGAATAAAGTGAAAATCATGGATGGAAGAAGGGAGAAGTGGTTTTTCCRGAAAATTCAAAAGGCTGGAGTGTAGTGAGATGATGGAGGCTGGGGGAAGGGTTGTGATTCCTTCAATTCCTGTTTGGAATTGTGGAATGGTTTGGGTGGGAAGGGACCTTAAAGCTCATCCCGTTCCAGGGACACCTTCCACTATCCCAAACTGACCCTGGACACTTCCAGGGACAGAGCAGCCACAGTTTCTCTGGGAGAACTCTTCCAGAGCCCCACCACTTTCACAGGGAATAAKTCCTTCCCAATACCCACCTAAATTCCCCCTTGGTCACTGTGAAGCCATTCTCTTCCTCCTGTCCTGTCCCTACAATTCCTGATGAAGAATTCCCTCCCACTTCCCTGCAGGCCCCTTGTGAGGTTTCCAGGGTATCTTTTCGAGGTGAACTTCCCCAGCTTGTCAGTGTCCCAAAGTGTCCCCTRTGATATCATGAGGTCACTGGAAGGTCTCCATATTCCATATTTTAATAAGAACAGTTCAAACGAGTAACTCACTTCTGAACATTCCCAGAGTATAAAACATTCCCTGGCTCCGRATCTAACTGCTCAGCCTTTAAATATATCTACAACTCCTCTCCACTGGGAATAACTGTGCTCCAGCAGGAATAAATATCTCAAATATAACCTCTTGGAAATGTCCTCTTGTACAAAAATTCCCTTTTTTCTACATTAGAATTCCATGAGAATGCCCCCATCATCCCTTTATCCCAAAACTAGCTCTGTGCCACAGGTGTKGGGGGGTCTTTATTGCTGGACCTCACCAGGCTGGATTGTGCTTACCTTTCCCAAAGTTCTGCTCACAGCTTCAGCTGAGGAATTTCTGTGGGAATACTACAGCAACAGGCAAAGAAAAGGGAAAAGGAATTGGAAAAGCTGCAGGTTTTTACACTGGGAAGCTGATCCCAAGGTTTGAGGCATTAAACCACAGCAGAGAGTTGCTGTTCCCAAAAAACAGGAGTCGCCCCAGTTGGACAACATCCCAAGGCTCCTTCCTTGGCCCAGGGAAAAAAAAAAAACTCCAAATCCTATTCTGCTAAAATGGAGCAGGAAAAGCCTCTGAACTGAGCCTTTTCCCAGACTTTTTTTCCAGGAGATATTTGGTCTCTTAAATGCCCAATTCCATGGGAGCTGGAGCAGCTGGAAGGTGAGAACTGACAGAATCCAAGTGCCAGACTGCTCCAGTTTCTAGGAAATTGTAAAACCAASGAAGCAGTGCTTGGCTCCCACCTGCCTCTTTTGCTGCTCAGAGACGCCAAACTCCTGGAATGAAACTCCCAAGCTCCTCCCAAGGAGTGAGCTGCCTTACTGCTGTGATCTTTGGCAAAAGCAGAGAGAAACCAACATTTCCTGAAAAGCAAATTTAGTCAGGCTTTTCCTGGATGGAATTCCACTGGGGAAAATGCAGCAAATGTCATGGAGAAACATTGGTTCTCCTGATTGTCCTTGTGGCATTGAATTCCCTGGAAAACAAACCTGCAYCACCAAGATACCTGAGCCACCCCCTGAATTCCCAGGGAATCAACTCCCAGAAATTCCCTGGCATAGTGCCASCCTGCCTGACCACCAGGAGATGGAGCTGGGGAAGGAATTTCCAGAGGAAAGCTGGAAATCCACTCTTTCCTAGCTTCCCACCACCAGCTTCCCTCAGGCCAAGGACTGTACAAGGGGTGCAGCCTAAGGAGGAGGAGGCAATCCCAAATTATTCCATGTTCACCAGGGCATGGAGCTGGGGCTGCCCAGAGTCTGTCTGCGTGTGGAGCACGGTGAATTCTCCCAGCAGGGATTCCTGTGCTCCTGAGGCCTTACAGTCCGTACTGGAATTCCCGCTTCCCGGCATAGCTGCCAGGCTCTGGTAGGGGCTGTTCTCTGGGAAGGACAGCAGCTTTTCTGGGATTTTAGGGGACACCTCATATTCCTCATCAGGAAGCTCTGTTTTGTGCCCCTCGTCGTTCTTTGCTGCTCCTTCCACAATGACGAGGAAGGACTTCCAGGGCGTGTTTTTATCGTGGATCTGGAGAGAAATAACCAGGAAAGAGAAGGTTGAATACAGAATGACAGGGAAAGGTTGTCCAGCTAGTAGAAAAGGTCTGTGTTTTATAGTCATGGAATGGTTTGGRATGGGAAGGGACCTTGAGGATGATCCAGTTCCACCCCCACCTTCCTCAGACCAGGATGCTCCAACYTGGCCTTGGACACTTCCAGGGATGGGGCAGCTACAGRTTTTCTGARAAAATTGTACCAGGGCTTCCCCACCCTCACRGGGAAGAATTCCTTCCCAAYATCCCACCTAACCCCAACTTCCAGCCCCTTGAACTGGAAGCTCCCTCTGGGCTTGACCCATCCATCCACAGAACACAGCTCCAAGGCACGATGGCGATGAACTGAGACTGTGCTCCCGGTGTGTGGGGCTCCGGGATTGCGGGATCRTACCGAGGTGTGCCTGCGGAGCGTGGATTTGTCGGTGAAGGTTCTCCCGCAGGCGTTGCACATGAAGGGCTTCTCCCCRGTGTGGATGCGGTGGTGCCGCTGCAGCGCGTTGAGCTGCGTGAACTGCTTCCCACACTGGTCACAGCAGTACGGCCGCTCCCCTGGGAATACAGCATGGGAGAGAGCGTGGGAATGGGAGCACAGGACAGCTGCTGTGCCCTGGCAATGCCCAGGAACCCCTGGAGGGCAAGGAATAATCAGGGAAAACATCCTAGTGGTACGAATGTTATCACATTCAGACCCATCTGGAGGCAGCAGGTTCTTCCCAGCCTCAAAGCTGTGTTGCTGCCACTCCATMTTTCCATAGATTTTCCATTAGAGACTCAAGTCCTGCCGAGAATCCAAATATTCYTCCTCTTTATTCTCTCTTCTGTGAGCAAGAACCCCCAAGCTGCTCCCAACACCAGGATTGCTCTGAACACACCAAAAACTCCATGTTTGGAAGCAAATCATGTTTTCCTCCTTTTCTGGCTAAGGCAGGAGCTYAGAGCTAAACCAGAGCTCTCCATCACTAATGGTCCTGGCAGGTTATGCAAGTATCTCTGCAGCCTATGGAAGCATTCCAGGAATTGCTGCCATTCAGGAGCAGTAGGAGGATGGAAAAACACAATGCATCAAGCCATGCAGAGAAAAGTCTGGCTGAGAATTCCTAGCTGGAATATTGCAATGGTGAGGGGTGTTTATCCAACAGAAGGAGYACATCCCTACCTGTGTGGACTTTGATGTGCTGGTACAGGGAATTCCGCTGGGCAAAGGTCCGGAAGCAAACCTCACACTTGAAAGGTTTGGATCCCGTGTGGATCCGGTTGTGGTGTTTCAAGTATTCCTTGGAGGCAAAGCTTTTCCCACACGTTTCACACATGAAAGGCCTTTCTCCTAGAGGGAGGAAAATGGAGGATTAAAATGGCAGAGCTTTGGGAATGCTCTTAAACATGCCAGAAAAATTCCAGAGCTTATCCTCAGTATGGGGACCTTTAAAGGTCACCCAGTTCCAAATCATTCCATATCCAGGGACACCTTCCACTGGTCCAGACTGCTCCAAGCAACCTGTCCTGGAACAATTCCAGAAATGGGGCAGCCATAGCTTCTATGGAAAAATTCTTCCAGGGCCTCACCACCGTCATAGGGAGGAATTTCTTCCCAAAATCCAGTTTAAATCAATCCCCCCTCAGCATAAAATGGTGGGATGTCCTTAGGAACCCTTCTTGGGCAAATCCTACCTAAGAGACAACAATATCTCATTTTATCCAGGAAAACAAGAACAAAAAGCAGTATTTTCTGAAGACAGCTACTTCCCTGGAATGCTGGGGGTTGTCTTTTCCCAGTTTTCTAGCCTCACCTGTGTGGCAGCGCCTGTGGTAGATGAGCATGTGGTTCTGGGTGAAGCGGGCCCCACACTCATCACACACAAAKGGCTTTTCCCCCGTGTGGATCCTGYAAGAAGAAAGGAATGTTMAAACAYTAACCAGGATGAGCCCTTCCCTCATTCCCACTTATCCTTATTGCTGGATCGACATCCACATCCCAGAACCTGAAAGGAAACCAGAATTTTTCGAGGCAAAACGCCACCAAATTTAGAGAATTCTCTCCAGATTGTGGTGCCCAATCCTTTGGCATGTGAGGGAAAGCTCCTCAGGGGGTTGGGATGGCTGCTTTTCCGGGAGAGGCACATCCACATAGCAAAAGATATCCCAAAGGATGAGAAATTCCCATTACTGGCTACCACCACACCCAAATCAAGGCAGCACTGACTTTCCAGCATCCAAAATTCCTGAAAGGGCTCTGGGAGCAGAAACAAAATCAGGTTTAACCCCTCAGAGAGGATTTTTTTCCCCTATAAAAATGCCCCGAGAAAGATAAAAAAGGGTTAAAATCAGGCTCAAGCCCCTCCTAAATGATTTCTGCCCTGATAAAAATATCTTCTTCATGATAAAATCAGGCTGAAGCCCTTCAAAGGCAATTTTTGCCCTCATGAAAATGTCTCTGGCCTGACAGAGAAAACAACCAATAAAATCACGTTAAACCTCTCAGAGATTTTTACTCTAATAAAATAGTCTCTGTCATGAGACAAGGTAACATACATGATAAAATCAGATTCAAGCCCCTCAGAGTTGATTTCTGCCCTGATAAAAACACCCTCAGAAAAATAAACCTGATAAAATCAGATCCAACCCCTCAGAGATGATTTCTGCCCTGACAAAAAAGTCTCTGCCCTGAGGCAGATAAAATAACCGATAAAATCAGATTAAAACCCCTCAGAGATGTTTCTTCCCCTGATAAAAACACCCTGGGACAGATAAAACCCAGCAGGTGCTGGCACAGCTCCGTGYGGGTGACGCGTCACCTGCTCCTATTCCCAGCTCCATTGTTTTTCCTGCTTCGCCCACAAATCTAGCGATTTCCATTAAAAACCCCGCCAAATCCTTCCCAAATATTTCCACACTTGCTCTTTTATTGAGTCTAAGATGTGCTGGAGGAATCCCACCTGKATTTCTCTGCAGCATAGGCCTGGCCCACGCAGGATATGAGCAGAAAACAGACTTGGAAGGCCCTGAAGCCTGCACTCCATAGAGGGAGAAAACACGGATTTGGGAGGCACTCAGGGTTGCATTCTGTATGCGGAGAAAACATGGATTTGGGATGCCCTGAGGGCTGCACTGCCTATGAGGGGAAAACAGGGATTTGCAAGGCCGTGAGGGCTGCACCACATATGAGGAGAAAACAGGGATTYGGGAKGCYCTGAKGGCTGCACYACATATGAAKGGAAAACAGTGATTTGGGAGGCCTTGAGGGTTGCACCCCATGTGAGGGGAAAACATGGATT